ATCAATATCACAACCATAAGGTCCTCTGTTTTTGTAAAATGTTAGAAATTAGGATTAAATTCCCAGTTAACTTAATTCAGTACAACAGGTAATAAAATAATGGGTATCCCAGTTCCCTAAATTTGTTACTAGACGGATTTAACAATATATTTTTTCTATTTAAAATTAAAGTATACAAATTTTTTTTTTCAGTGTTCCTGTTGCTTTATTACAAATTCTAGCTTAAAAGGAATGAATCTAAAAAATGCAGATTTTTAAAAGTTATGTATTACACGTACCTTGCTTTGTATACTAGTTTCAACCGTTGGTTTTGAAATCGGGTAAAATGTGAATTGACCTTTTCTCTGTTGTTCAATCACTCATTTTTATTACCAAACTTCAAACTTTCCTTGAATATTGGTTTGTTGTTATATGGTATTAAGTAATTAATAGTAGAATTTTGTTGTAAGTGGTAGATTTTGCAGTAATATTTTCAGATTCCTGACCATACATATATATTTAATGTATTTTTTTTCTGAAAGTTGTATAAATTATTTTGAAACAAATGTATTAAGCTACAAGAATCTAAACGATTAATTTTTTTAAGGAGGCATATTCAGTCATAGGAGAAAATTTTATTCCACATTTTGTTTATATTAGGAATGCTATCATACTTAGTTACAATTTACTTGTGATACTTTTTTGAACTTTCTCCTCAGGGTAATGGAGTTACTGTTTTCTATGTCAACATTTTAAATATCAACCCAGGAGAATCCAAACACTTTGAGATTGAGCTTTCAGAGGTCAGTTGCTGGTATATAATTATATTGTAACAGTGATTTCTTTTAAAATTTAAGACTTCACTTGTGTATATTTTATTATTTGTTTTTATAGTTAAAGATAGTGTTTATTTGATTAAATTTGAATATATATTTAAAACTAATAATTGCGTTCCTGTAAATGTTAAAACTTTTCAAACTAACTCTATTATACCTTTTGGCATCATCGTATTTTTGCTATTTCTGCAAATATGATTAAAAAATAAATATTTCTTATCCATGTCTAATTGATTTATTACACAATTTTAACAGCATGGTTAAAAACATTGTTATGATATAAGACTGTTTAGTTTAGATATTATTGATTAATTTATTTTTGTGAGTGAATATTTTATAATTAGTTTTTGTCATAATAAGAGTTAAAAGCAGACAATTGTAAGAAGTTGTGTTTCTAAGTCATTGATGTTGAGACTATCGAACATTGCGTACAACACATTGACATTGCGAATGTAGACTGTGGGAAGATGATTAAGTGATAGACATATAAATAGTGTGAGATGAGTGGAAACAGCAAACAGATAATAGCAGATAGATAATAGCAAAAAAAGAGTAGTTACAGGCCAGAGTAAGGCTAACTGTAGAAAAGGAGATAAAAATAATAATTTATTCTCTCAAAGCATGGTTCTAAAGTAACTGATTCAGCCTGAGTGCACTTTGACAAAAGGAACAGAGGATATTTTGAAGAAA